TTCAGATGATTTATTTGTATGTATATATACATATAAAACAGGGAAAGGCAGACTTCTTTTGCTACAGACTCTTTCCTATTTGGTTGCTATCTTTTTCTACTTTATTATAGACTGAGATTTTGAGATGTTGAATTCCAATCTAGAAGCTAATGAGGTAAGCAAAACTCAGTGGCAAACCAAGGAAATTAATTTAATACCCTCTCTTGAGGCCCTGGCAAGTATTCCCACATCCTTTGGAGTAAGAGTCTGGCCACTGGCAGAGCCAAAATCTTCTTGACTGTGGTCAGAGAAAGCAGACCCTATTGGTACAAGTTCAGGCTGGCATGCAGTTAGGCTGCATCCCTCGCAGGGAGATGTGGTTGTCTGTGGTCCAGCATCCATCCTGCTCTGGTCAGAGGGTTGTTCTTGCTGTTCAGTCAATCAGTCGGGTCCAACTCTTTGTGACCCCATGGACTGCAACACACCAGCCTTTCCTGTCCTTCACTATCTCCCAGAGTTTGCTCAAACTCAGGTGCATTGAGTCGGTGATGCCATCCAACCATCTCATCCTCTATCGTCCCCTTCTCCTCCTGCCTTCAATCTTTGCCAGCATCAGAGTCTTTTCCAGTGAGTCGGCTCTTCACATCAGGTGGGCAAAGTATTGGAGCTTCAGCTCCAGCATCAATCCTTCCAGTGAATATTCAGGGTTGATTTCCTTTAGGAACTCTTAAGAGTCTTCTCCAGTACCACAGTTCAGATGGTCAGTGGACAATGAGCAGAATTGGTCCACACCAACCCCAGGTCTGAATCACAAATCACTTGTGACCTTCCACGCCCTCTTCTCTTCCAGCCACAGGAATGAGTGGACCCCAGGAACTGTATCGAGAGCTGCATGCTGACCCTGGTGAAGCCACAGATAAGGAGGTGAGCTGCTTGGCTGGGAGAGTCAGCCTTGGACTGTCCGGAAATCAGGACACAAACTTGTGGCATTTAAGGCAGATACTATGGGGTGATTTTTCTGCTATAGCAGCAGACGCTTCCTTAACAAACACATCGCAAAGCCAGCTTCTGCTTGCCCTCCTGGCATCAGGATGGGAACCGAAAAGCTCGGGACCTGGGAGAATAAAACCCACTCTTCTAGAAAACAAAAAGACCTACGGACTTCTAAGCCTCAGGACTTTCTTCTCTTTTGCCTTATGTCCCAACTACAGGGAGTGTGGAAAGAATTTCTAAAACATTTTCTTTATCTGGTTTAGAAAGTGAAGTCGCTCAGTCGTGTCCGACTCTGCAACCCCAAGGACAGTAGCCTGCACCAGGCTCCTCCGTCCATGGGATTTTCTAGGCAAGAGTACTGGAGTGGGTTGCCATTTCCTTCTTCAGGGAATCTTCCCAACTCAGGGATCGAACCCAGGTCTCCTGCATTGCAGACAGACGCTTTACCATCTGAGCCACCAGGGAAGTCCTAGCGGCATCCAGTTGTGGCACCCAGAATATTTATACCTCGTTGGAGGGTAAAGTCATAAATTAAAACAACGTTTTTTAGATGATGGTGGGAGAAGGCCAAAGGAAATTAGCTTAAAGAGTGAATGATAGGGCTTTTAGGTAGTTTTATTGCCGTAAATAAACAGTAGAATGAATACCAGCTGCCTCCAGAAATCCTCAAAACCCTGCTTTTGTGAATCCAGATGATTTTTGTGGACCTGGCACCCATCGTTTAGGTGCAATGTGTCAGTCTAAAGTGCTTGAGGGTGTTTAAAACATTTTTTCCCTTAAACACTTTAAATCCACCCTTCCTGCAAGTGTGTTTAGTCTGGTAACGTGCACTATCTCCAATTATCTGAGCATGGTGCGTGCTAAGTCACTTCAGTTGTATCTGACTCTTAGAGATCCCATGGACTGAGCCTCCTGATCTTCTCTGTCCGTGGGATTCTCCAGGCAAGAATACTGGAGTGGGTTGCCATTTCCTTCTCCAGGGGATCTTCCAGACCCAGGGACTGAACCCGTGTCTTCTGCACTCCTGCATTGCAGGTGGATGCCTTACTGCTGAGCCACCAGGGAAGCCTAATTATCTGAGCAATAAGTAGATTTTGTTTCCGCATCTGTCAAGTGCTACAGGTTCCAAATAGGTGGCTCTACGGTTAGTGAGGTTGGTTGAGCTGGCCTCCTTCATTTCCATGATGGCAGGAAAGTATGATTGGATGGAAGGCTCAGTGTCATTAGATGATGAAAGGGTTGGTGTGAGAGAGAAGACTTCTCAAAGGAAACAAGGAATCTTGACATAGGAGCAAGCAAAGGTGCGACAGGGCTTCCCCGGTGGCTCAAATGGTAAAGAATCTGCCTGCAATGCAGGAAACCCGGGCTCAATCCCTGGGTCGGAAGATCCCCTGGAGAAGGGAATGGCAACCCACTCCAGTATTCTTGCCTGGAGAATCCGGTGGACAGAGGAGCCTGCCAGGCTACAGTTCCACAGGGTCACAAACAGTTGGACATGACTAAGTGACTAACACACATACACACAATGAGGCAATGATTTTAGATGAATGGGATTTATATCAAGACCTTGGGGTCTTGATACTCAGGGCTGTCTGAAGTCCTAGTTTCAGCCTAGGTAACCAGAAATTATCACTGGGGCGTCGTTTACCTGGTCAGGGTGCAGAGAAGTTCAGGGCTCTCTCAGGGCTGATTTACACATCTGACCACATAGGAGAGAGCTGTGAGATGAGCCAAACAATCCCTCTGTACCCAGACCTGCTAAGGGGAAAAGCACATGGAGAAGATGCCCCAGGTGGTCCACTGGATCTTCAGAGCTGAAAGCCAGCACCAGTGGATTACGCTCTGTTCCCGGGGTCTTTAAGACACTGCAATGAGTGTGTGGCTGGCCCTTTAAAAAAAGCACCAAGCCAGAGAAACCTCAGCCAGCAGAATTAGTCAGTTTGTTTTAGCAACAGCTTCCCGTGTCCTGGTCTCCCATTACTTCATCTGCATTCCCCAAATGCTGGGCCCACGGCCCGTGGCAGTCCCTCTCATGGTTTTCATAATCTCCCAGGGAACTCCCAGTACCTGGACGAACCCCGTGACCCCAGGACACCACCTCTGGGGTCACAGGTGGAACCTGATGCCCTTGTCCAGAGTCTCTGCTTGTAACTCTACCCACCCCCGATTGCAGACCTGCGTCAGAGGCTGCCACAGGCAGGCGGGAGGTGACCCTGTCTGGTCTTGCCCAGGTCAGCCTCTGCCACGCAATTCCAAGCAGCAGAGAAAAGTCCTGAATCCAGGGGTTGCTTAGTGAGGCTTCACTAAGAGGGTCGCCCCCTCAAGGATGGCCAGGGTCTTTGCCCAGTGGCTCAGAGACCCGGCTGGTCAGTCAGCGAGTTGGCAACATGCCCTTCCTCATGCTCTCTCCCCAGGAGCAGGCATCAGAGAAATCCCCACGGAAGCGAGGGACAGAGGATGATTCCCAGGAGCTTAAAATAGAGTTTACTGGCTGGGAAGTGACATGGAGCCCAAGGAGAGAGCAAGCTTCAGGCAGGGCTGGATCCAGACCCAGTCCAGATGCTCCTGTCAGGGATCTGGCTCTTCATCTCAGAAGGAGTGAATCCACCCGACAGGCAGGCCTCTGCCAGAGGCAGGGATGTTCACTCCAACAGATTAGCAACTCCAGGGGATGGGTCTGCCTGCCCTAACAACTCCAGGAGGAAAAGGCCAGAGGGTGGTCTGACTGGCCAGGCTGGACCTGAATAAGCACCAAAGCCCAGGGAAGAGATCCCGGTGGTCAGCTAGGCCTGGGCCCATCCCTTCTCCAAGAGGCTAAGGTTGGGGCTGGAGCTGCAGCTAAAGACTATCGATAGGTTTTCTTTATACAAAATTGAGCTCAACAATGGCCTCCACGTTGCTGGGACCAGCTATCATCCTTAGGCCTTATCTTTGCTGTGGTGGACAACGACCCAAGACACGGACCTGCTCAGCCCCTCGTCCTGTCTCCCCGCTTAACTGGGCCTTTCTTTCCCAGTCTCCCGCTGTTCTTCCTCGGCTCCCTGACCTGCTTGCACTGGAGGCTGCAAGCTCAGGCCTTGGCCACTCTCTTCTCTGCCTGCACTGCCGCACCCTCGCACTGGTAGCCTCATCCTGCCTTGTGACCTGGAATGCCAACTCTGCCTCGGGCACCAAGTCTATCCCTGGAGAACTCTCCTCTCATGGGCTGCAGACTCCAATCCTTGTCTGTGGTGATGGACAGCACTCTGGGGTCTATGCAGCCCCCAGCCCCCCACTTACACTGCCCCTCCAGCCCTCTCGTTGTCATGAGGATGGAGAGCTCCAGGTTCGCTGTGGTTCGGACCAAAAATCCGCGCCCCCCCCCCCATCTTTGCTTCCACGCTTTCTCTCACACTCTATGTGCAGGCGGTCAGCGAATCGGGCTGTTCTAAGTCTGTCTGGACTCCAGTTCTCGCCTCCTTCAGCTCGGCCAGTCTGAGTCAAGTCATGTCATGTCTCACCAGCATGATCACAACACCCCCAACCTGGATGCCATCTTCTGCTTGGTCCTCTTTGGACCAAGGTGAGAGGGCTATCATCTCACCTGTCAGAATGAACCTGCAACACAGTCAGACGATGACTTCCTCCGGTAGGCTCCCTAAGTGACTCTCCAATCACTCCGAGTAAACCTCGTCCAGCCGTCTGCAAAGCCCCTCAAGGCCCCCACCCTCACCCTTCCCCTCCCCATCTCCCTTCTGATAAGCTCTGCCACCATCCCCCCACCACCATCTCTATTCACATCAGTTCCTCGACGTTCCTCTCACTCACAGAGCACAATCATGCCTCAGGGCCTTTGCACCTGCTTCTCCCTCTACCCAGAGTCCTCTTTCCTTCCTTATGTCCATCGGATTTTGAATGAAATATTCCTCCTTGATGAGGCCTTCTCTGACCACGTCTTTAAAAGAGCAGAATGCTTCCCGATGCTGGTACTTTCTGTCTTCCTGCACTGATGTAGTTTTCTCCATAGGAGTTGTTATATTCTAACTCACTTGTAGTTGTTGTTCAGTAGCTCAGTCACGTCCTTCGGGCCAAAAATCCGCCCCCCCATCTTTGCTCCCGCTCTCTCTGAAGACGCCTGGCTTCCCCGAGATCAGCTGTTTCTCTTTCTCACTTGACTGTGCTTGTTCACGAAGGATCCCAGTGGCCTGGTTCTGGCGAGCCCTAGAGGGCAGCTTCCCTGACTGGGCCCACACCCTCAGGAAAACAGGCACATGCCCCCCAGACCTGGTGGCAGGCAGGCCGGCTGCCAGCGTGGAGGAGGCCCTGTCTTCCCAACCCCACTGCACCTGAGGCAATTTCCCTTAGCATTACAGAATCTAAGGGTGCCTTGTGGAGCTAGGGTCCAGTGTCCAGTCCTCATTTTATCAGCCAGAAACCTGAGCCCGAAGGGTTGGGCTAGTGGCAATGGCCGCACAGTGTAGGTGCTCAGCTGCAGGCTCTCCCAAGACTGTCCTATTGAAGGTTGCCTGCGTTTCCAAGGCCGGGCCTGGCTGCCTTGTTGGCCTGTGAATTGTTATTGTTTAGTCGCTAAGTCATGTCTGACTCTTTGCGACCCCACCGACTGCAGCCCACCAGGCTCCTCTGTCCATGGGATTCTCCAGGCAAGAATACTGGAGTGGGTTGCCTTGCCCTCCCCCAGGGGATCTTCCCAACCTAGGGATGGAACCTGGACCCTCGCATTGCAGGCAGATTCTTTACCATCTGAGCTGCCAGGGAAGCCCCAAGAATACTGGAGTGGGTAGCCATTTCCTTTTCCAGGGGACCTTCCTGACCCAGGGATTGACCCACGTCTCCTGTGTTTCCTGCATGGCAAGCAGGTTCTTTACCACCAAGCCACAAGAGAAGTCCCACCTATGAATTAGCAGCTCTCTAATATCCAAGGAATTCTCCACGTGATGGGTGAAATTATGAAGCTGCGCTGCAGCAGCGCCTGTTCATCCCGCCCCTTCCTCTCCTCTCTGCTCCCCACTCTCTGCTCCCCACTTCGTGATGGAATGGGATAGGGGTCACTCCTCTGCCTGATGGAAGTCTCGGCTGCTTGCCCTCTAAGCTCATTATCTGACTGGCTCAGACCTTCCCAGGGCTGCAGGGAGGCAGAAAGGTAATTAAGTGTTTTGCTTAAATGGCCTCTTCAGTTGACAGAAATGCTGCCCAGGGATGCAGTGGGCTCTGCTTCCCACTTCCCTCCGTACAATGCCAAAGCTGCAGGCCTGGGCAAGGAGGTGGCCAGTCATGGTGCAAGGCCGAAGGGACCAAAGACTGCTGCGCCCCCCGACTGATCCCCAAAGTGGATCATCCTGAAGCAGATCGTGGAGGAGAAGGCAATTGCTGTGAGGACCCTGTGTCCACCCCGGCTGCCCCGGGGTCCCCTGCTGGCAGTGTCTCACTGTGTGTCCGCATGCCCTTGGGCGCCATGTGTCATCAGGCCAACGAGAATCAGGGTGTTTCTCCTGCCTCCCAGGCCCCTCTGTGGGACCAGCAAACTGAGTGCCACTCCAACCGGTGGTGATGTTTACTGTCCCTTTGCTACCCAGGGTATCACCGTGGCTTAGAGGAGGCATTATTTTGGGAGAAATGATCCTGCCCTATGGAGCCCCTTGGAGGCTGGGGGGATGGGATGGGAGATGCAGACAAAGCACAAACGGCATCTCCCATGGAATCCATGGATGCAGACAGAATTCAACACTCTCCTCCAGTGGGCAAATACCTATTTCCAAACAGAGAAGAATTTGGATGTGAAAGGCAGTTGTTATAGAAATACACATAAAGGGACTTCCCTGGTGGTTAAAGTTAAGACTTCGCCTTACAAGACAGGGGTTGCAGGTTCGAATCCTGGTGGGGGATCTAAGATCTTACATGCCTCAAGGCCAAAAAACTAAAGCATAAAACAAAAGCAATATTGTTAACAAATTCAATAAAAACTCTCTCTTTTTCAATGGAGGATAATTTGCTTTACAATATTGTGTTGGTTTCTGCCATACATCAACATGAATCAGCCATAGTTATAGATATGTCCCCTCCCTCTTGAAATTTCCTCCCATCTCCTACCTTATCCTGCCCCTCTAGGTTGACAATAGAATATTACTCAGCATAATGACTTTAAAAAAAAAGAAAGAAAGAAAGGATTAAGACTAGGGAAGGAGGAAAGAGTGAATGCAGCAAAAAATAAAATGAAATCAAGAATGGGAATTTCTGAGGGTGGAAATCACCAGTAGGGCTGTGAGAAGCAGCTGGAATCAGACCACAAAGAGTTAAGTCCAGTCTTAACTAACAGCACCTACTTATGCATCCTAGCACATTCAGCGTTATTGTGCTAAAGATAATAGCAGACTTATTACAACAGAGCGCTCCATATACATTAGTGCCCACACAATGTCACCTGTCTGTGAATTCAGCAGAATTTGCTCACAGAATAATACAGTATTGCCATTGTCACAGCTTAGAATTCATTAATAGAAACAGTGTTTCTGGCGCCTCTATGTAACACTCAGTCCCCCAAGAAGGCTCATTATGGAATGTGGCCCTGGATTCAGTAATGGCAGTCATTATGACCATGTGCATTAATATCAAAGGATCTGTAATTATTTTTACATTTTTCCTGGTATCATCAGTGAGCCTCTAAATGATGCACGTCTTCTGGTATAATCATGGGTCCTTCAAGTCTCTAACCATATGCAAAATTTCACTGCAAGCCGTTAAAAATTACAGAAGATATGCCTAGTAGAATGTTCATTAGCTACCATTTTGTTTCACATTGAACGTCAAATTGTAGTCAAGGCGATTTTTCCATCATTTAGTGATATTTAATACAAATCAATCAAGTGCTTTGGATTTAATAACTGGAAAGAATATAATAAAGGCAAAATCTCTCAACTTCTCTGTGTTGGGTTGCGATGGTTTGAGCCAGACACCAAAACTGAAGGAAAGAAGAGAAATTGATACACCCAAGAAAACTCAGTGGGAAAAAAAATGACTTTGCCAGATTTGTGCTCATTGTTATAGAAATTCCTATTCTTACCCATACCCAGCTCTCTCCTTCACTTACAGATGGGTCGTGTCCCAAGTTTTAGCCTTGACTTGACAGTGGAAGTGATAGCAGTTTCTAGGCTGAGTTACAAAAGTCTGTGACACCTTGTACCCTTCCTCTTCTTTCTGCAGTGTTCTTGGGAAAATTCAGCAAGGTGTATATTTCAGTGTGCTTTTCTGTATGTGCATTATGCTTCCATTAAAGAAAACATAAAAATAATATACATACAATGGAATATTGTTCTTGTTCTTTAGTCATCAACTGTCTGACTCTTTGCAACCTCATGAACTGTAGCTCTGCAAGCTCCTCCATTCATGGGATTTCCAGGCAAGAATACTGGAGAGGGTTGCCATTTCCTTCTCCAGGGGATCTTCCTGACCCAGGGATCAAACCCACATGTCCCATGTCTCCAGCATTGACAGCTGTATTCTTTACCATTGAACCACTTGGGAAGCCCTTACAATGGAATATTACTCGGCCATGAAAGAAGAATCAAATAATGCCATTTGCGGGAACATAGATGGACATAGAGATTATCAAGTGAAGTAAATTAAACAAAGACAAATATATTAAATCATTTATTTGTGGAATCTAAAACAATGAAACAAATGAACCCATTTATAAAACAGAAAGAGACTAACAGACCTAGAAAACAAAGTTATGGCTACCAAAGTGGATAGCTGGGGTGGGGAAAAGGGCTAAATTAGAAATTTGGATAGTCTATATAAAACAGGCAAACAAGGACCTACTGTGAACCACAAAGATTTATACTCAATATCTTGTAATAACCTATAAAGGAAAAGAATCTGAAAAAAATACATATATAGAATCACTTTCCTGTATACTTACAACATTGCAATACAACATTGCAATTTAATTATACTTGATTTTAAAAATTTTAAATTTAAAAAGTAAAAATAAGAGGTGGTCTTTAATACATTTTGCCCTCTATGGCACTTTTCAGTTCTAAAAACTCTGCCATTAGAAGTTTCACTCCCCAGGGTTCTTATTTTTGTTCACGGGGTAATGAACAGAGTGCCTTCTCCCCAGGTAAAAGGACTTATGGAGGGAGAAGCTCAAAGTTTTGGTCAAAAGGTTCAGATGCTCAGGATTTGTTGAGGGGGCACCTTACAAGGAAAACTGGTGAGGAAGCAAGGGAGTGAAGCGTGGAAGGGAGAGGGAAGAGCTGAGCGAGGCTGTTGTCGTGGGAGAAGCCGAGTACCACCTGATCCACGGTGCGATAGAGGGAGCCCCAGGGCATGGACAGAACTGCAGAGTCGTCCCCCTAACCCTGATGCACAAGATCTTGCTTTTCATACCCTTTTATCAGTCAGTCATTGCCTACGGGCCCCGCAACCTGGAGGGCTGTCCAAGTTTCCTCAACAAGTCTATTTGAGAAACTCACTTCTGTGAACCGAGGTGTTTAAAATTCTGACATTTTGGCCCAGGCTGCGACATGAAGGAACTTTTAGCTACACCAATTCTTCAGGTGTGGCACTCAGGATCTTAGTTCTGTCATGTGGGATCTAGTTCCCTGAACAGGGATTGAACCAGGGCGCCCTGCATTGGGAGTGAAGAGTCTTAACCATTGGAACACCAGGGAAGGAAAGAAACCTTAAAGACATTATGTTAAGTGAAATAAGGCCATCATAAAAGGACAAAGGCTGTAGAATCCTACTTAATATGAAGTACCTAGAGTGGCCAAATTCATAGAGCATGCTATCCTATGAAGGCTAAGTCCTTTGAATCCTGTCTGACTCCTTGCGACCCAATAGACTGTAGTCCACCATGGGATTCTCCAGGCAAGAATACTGGAGTGGTTGCCATTTCCTGCTCCAGGGGATCTTCCCAACCCAGGGATCAAGCTTCATCTCTTCTATCTCCTGTGTTGGCAAGAGGGTTCTTTACCACCAGCACCACCTTCATAGACAGGAAGGAAAATGGTTGTTACCAGGGGCTAGGGGGAGGAAGAAATGGGATCTAATATTTAATTGATACAGAGCTTCTCCACCTGCAATACA